ACACACACACACACACACACACACACACACACACACACACACACACATATATATATATATATATTTCTACAAATAGTGTATGTTACTGAAGAACCTCCCTCTTTAAGAATGTTTTTGTATTTGTAATATGTTCATATATTTCTGCTTTGACTGTCAAACAGTTCTTACCAAAAGTTTATCTTCAGACACAAAATTCCAAAAAACAAACTAGAAAAATTGCATTTCCTCCGATAATGTAGTGTGAATGCTTAGTGCTGATGGATTTTTGCAGAAAGCTGCTAAAGCTGAAAACAACTGAAAAGGTTTCATCTCTAAACTGTTAATGCAAGATGAATTTGACATTTGCTGAAAGCAGGAAAATACAAGTGGAAAACAGAAGAAAACCTGCAAAAATGTAGCAGAATAAGCTGAAATAGGCAGAGAGGCTGAAAAGATGACAAAAAAAATCTGGAATCAGCAAAAAAGAAACTGAAATGTGCAGAAAAAAGCTGAAATTTGCTAAAAAAAAAATGTAGCTGAAAAACAAAAAGTTGAAATTAGCAGGAGGTTGAAAGGAGCATAGCAAGTTTAAATTATTAAAGACGCACAATGGCAGAAATTAGAAAAATAAATAGTAGAAAAAGCTAAAACTAGCAGAAAAATACCCCAAAAAAAGTAGTTGGGGGGGGGGGGGGGGAGAGAAATGTGGAAAGGAAGCTGAAAGGAGCATACATAGTTGAAATAAGCAGAAAGAAGCTGAACAAATAACAAAAAGGCTGAAATTAGAAGAAAAAATATCTGAAAGGAGAATAAATAGCAAAAGGAGCTGAAAGAAGCTGAGTCAGAACAAAAGCTGAAATGAGCAGTAAAAGGTTTTAAACAGCACAAAGTGTATGAAGGATGAGCTCCATTCACTCCCAATGAGAAAAAAACATGTGTGACACTCTGTCAGTGACAGAGCTAAACATTTCAAACAGTAAAAATTGCACAAATACCAAACGTCTCAGCAGGAACATCCTGAAGGAGCTGAACGTTTTGATGTATTAATATTTAAATAGCTCAAAAATAGTAGAACGGGCTACATATCGAAAAAAACGTATGAAAGAAAAATATATTTCAATAGTGAGAATGTTTTATAAACCTTTACACCATGAACAAATACAGCCCAAAAGCAATTTATATAAAACGCCAGCAGCCTCAAACACATTATTATTTATTTATTTGTAACAACTATTATCTTAACTTGCAACAATTATTGTGAAAATACGCCAGTGATATTTAGTTTTATAATTCATTTTATTTCTGTAGCTCAGACTTTAAAAAAAACCTAAAATCACTAAAAAACACAACTTTTGTTTCTTTAAATATATATTTATTTAAATGGGTATCTCACCACGAGCAATGAAAACGTTGCCACACACTCATAAACAGACCAAACACAAACATTTGTATAAAAACATCTATAAAAGCTTTGTGCAACATAAATTTAAATCTACAAACGAAAAGTGACAGTTTTATCACAATACCTTGCATAAACTAAAAAGATCCCGTGTGCATTTTAGTTCCCCGTGTTGAAGAATTTACAACTGCTGCATTACTCCACAGCAACTAAACATCTTTGTGTTTGTTCTTTAAAGCTGCCAAGATTATGACAGTCTTTAATAAGAGGAGTAAAACTTGTTGTGGTCATAAGACCTAAATAAATCAAACCAGGAGTGTCCTGAGTCACAATAAATGTGGGGATCAAATATTATTTAACATAACTCTGACTGGGGGTGATGTCAATGTTGCCCACAGCGTTCTTAGAAAAAAAACTTTTATATCTTAAACGAGGGTCAGCTTGTTAATAAGTAAACAACACAAACCATGGATCAGAGCTTTCTGAACCTAGGACCAGACAGACCATTCCTGGACCAGCACTGACTGACAGCAGGACAAAAGCAGGCAGATCAGAACCTTTGTGCGTCTCAGCCGAGGGGGGAGACATTCTGAGCCTCCCCACTGAGGTGCTAATATCACTAATGGACAAGTTCAGCGCCACTCCAAGCTGCCTTGGACAGATTAGGAAAATGACACCAAATTCTGCATATAGAAGAGTTGAGGGCTGAAATCAAAGATAAAGAAGAATAAGATGGAAGCAAACTGGGGGGGGGGGGGGGGGGGGTGTAATTCAATCATCAGATGGAGTGGGAGCTGAGAGGAGTTCTGAACAAAGAAAAGAACATTAAAAATCTTGTATAGACCTGCCAATCCATCTAAGGCACGGGTGTCCAAAGTGTGGCCCGAGGGCCATTTGCGGCCCTTGGAGTGATTTTGTGCGGCCCACAACTGCAGTTCAAGAATGGTATCATTTTGTCCAGCAGGCAAATTCATTGGTAATCCCTTTTTATATAATGCTTAGGTTTAACAGCCAAACGGATGAAAAACAGTCTTCTCAAAATGAGCAATATTAAGTAAAATACAAACCTTTGGCTACAATCTTTTAATTTTCACCTCATGGTACAAAGCACCAAAAACCTTTACTGGTTTATACCAGAAAGGAGACTTTTGGATAATGATTCATAAAACTTGACTAAACGTTGATAAAATAATCAAGAGAGAAATTGGACATGTTTTAATGAATACAACATGGTATCATCTGCATACGAGTTGATGAGCTTTATCAAACCTGCTATGAATCTGTTGTAGCGACTGACAGCAGGACGATTTTTCAGAACTTTGATCAGCGTTTTGGGCCGTCCATGGTCCAAAAGGCAGATCGACACCCCTTTAAAAGGACACGTACTCATATTATACTTTTGTTGTAGAGAACAGACTAAAATGAACTTTCTAAACCCACCCCCAAAAACCCAACAAACACAGACCCATCAAATCAAATAAATCAAATACTGTTTAATAAAAAATATGAGCTTAGTGTTTATCTAGAACAATTAAAAACTCTTTCTACTCCAAAATTAGTACACTTCTGTTATTTCTCCAAAATATTGTTCACGTTGAGAGTTAAATTCACAATTCTGTGGCCCACGAGTCCCCTCATCTGGATAGTTGTAGCCCACATGTGAATGCATTTGGACACCCCTGCTCTAAAGAGTACTGCAGCAGATTAAATCTTAAATGCTGGCGTGGCTGCAAAAGTGGGAGCAAAACGAGCTGAGGCGTGGATGACGTGGGTGGAGGTGCACCAGGAAATAATGTGCATGACCTAAAATACTTTTTTACAAAATCAAGATGCAATTTGCAAAAACTGCCCCCACGACTTGCCGCTACGTTGGTTGAAAATACTCAGAACTGATAGCGTGCTCAGTACTCACAAAGGTGACAACGCCTTTTAATTCATTAAACACAAGAATCTTATTTTGCATGAATCAATCTTTTCTCTACTCTCATTCGGTTTTGGTCAGAAGGTTTTAAACGCACCGACAGAGTTCTACGGCGGGCTCTGGCTGCCTGTCAGCACCGCAGCAACTTCTCTACGTTCATCGTTTCAGTCCAGTGAACCCAAATGCCGAACAGACAAAACATCTGATTTGATTAAAGTGGATACAGATCAGCCAAACAACTCCAAGTGAGCGTCTAATCTTTGGTGAAAGCCAGATGCCCCCACCCGGCGAGCGTTAACGGTGGAATGGGAAAAGTCTCGCTGTGAGGGGTGCCTGATCCACCCAGGAACAAAAAGCCACTCTGGCTGCCACGAGACACAAAGCCTTCTTTGACCTTTCAGATTGGTTTCCAATAAAAACAAGATGGATCCAAAAGCGTGGTTCTGTAATTTGAAGTCTTTGTACCCACAGACCTCGGATCAGATCTGGAGTGTGAGCCACCAGCTGACCTCCAGACCTGCAGTGGCCCCACCCTCTTCTTCTCACACATGACCGGCATTCCTGGCGTTCCCTGTCGTTTTCACCGGAATTCCAAAGATCCCCCAACACCCGACACCCCCAAATGTTCACCTCCTGACCGTCGCCGAGCCCGTCGGGTTGTCAAAGAGCTTGGACTAATAACAGCAATCCTTGACTTTCTTGTTTTATGTTGAGTAAACAATCCATAAAAAGTTTGACAACTCTCTCCACTTCCTTCTGGTAATTTACGCTTCTTTCTGCCTTTTCGCTACTTTTCAGCTGTTTGTTATTGATTTTAGCTATATTCAGATATTTTCCACTTTTTTGTGCTCATTTCTGCTTCTTTCAGCATAACTGAGCAAATGTGTGTTTTTCTGCTTTCTTCTAATAATTTAAGCTTGTTCTAACTTTTCAGCTATCTTTTTTTATGCATTTTTAGCTAATTTCAGCTGTTTTCAGATAAATGCAAGTGTTTTACATTAATTTCTGTTACTTTCAGCCTAATTAACTTCTTTTTGCTAATTTCAGCTAATTATGCTATTTTCAGTTTTTTTCTGACAGCTTCAAGGTGGAGGTGGGATTGCATCAAGGATCAGCTCTGAGCCCCTTCTTGTTTGCTCTGGTGATGGACCGTCTAACAGATGAGGTTAGGCAAGAATCCCCATGGACGATGATGTTTGCAGATGAAATTATGATCTGTGGTGAGAACAGGGAACAGGTGGAAGAGAACTTGGAGAGGTGGAGGTATGCACTTGAATGAAGAGGATTGAAAGTCAGCCGTAGTAGTACGTGTGTGAATAGCTATGTTTACATGCGCAGAATTCTTTGACCGGATTGAAATGTGTTCTGTTTGAATAATTCAAATGTGTTGTTTACATGGGCACAATCTGTTCATGACGAGCGTTTACATGCAGCGGGCTTTGTTCTGAACAGCAGTACTGACATGCGCAGAGTGGTAAACTCTCATAAAAAAAAACACCGAAGAAGAAGTTCTATTTCCGGGTGAACGTAAACAAACCTGAGCACCCAAAATGGACCCGCAACAGGTTTTAATGATGGTGGAGACGTTAATGCACTCCCTGACTGAGCTACAGGTAATAGAAATCATTCTGAGCTCTTTAAATGTTTCTAGTAGAAATGTTGTGTCGCTCACCGACCACTTTTACTTCCCTGACATGCTAATATTATTAGCGTTAGCCAGGCGGAAATGGCAAAGCCGCACATGCGCAGTCAGGTCAGTTTTTCACCATCAGATAAAAATGAACAGATCAAGCGTTTACATGCACACCGATCGGGTTTCGGATCGGCGTAAACCACCCGTTTCGTTCTGATCACAAATTATATCAAATCGCGCCGAATACACAAAAAATAACCCGAACGGAGTGTTTACATGACACACTTTTATTCCGACCGGCCATTTGATCCGGTTACTTATGTCCATGTAAACATACCCACAGACCAGTATCTTCTGTTTGACTCCCACCATCCACTGGAACACAAACTCTCTGTCATCAGAACTCTACAACATCGGGCCAAACGCGTCCCCACAGAGACAGAAGGGAAGGAAAAGGAACAGAAACACATTCAAGAAGCTCTCCAAACATGTGGATATCCAAACTGGGCTTTTGTCAAGTCAGCAAGGAAATCTACAAAACACACTAATAAACAGAAAAAGGAGAACAACAGATGTAAAAACATTGTCATCCCTTATGTTGCTGGAGTATCAGAGAAATTCAGAAGGATTTTCAACAAACACAAGATCCCAGTACATTTCAAACCCAGCAGGACTCTCAGACAGAGGCTGGTCCACCCTAAGGACAAGACACCCATACACAAACAGAGTGGTGTAGTGTATGTGGTCCAGTGCAGCGAGGACTGTCCAGACCTCTACATTGGAGAAACTAAACAGCCTCTTCACAGACGCATGGCTCAACACAGGAGAGCCACCTCCACAGGACAAGATTCAGCTGTTCACCTCCACCTCACAGATAAGGGACACTCTTTTGAGGACCAAAATGTGCACATTTTGGACCGAGAACACAGATGGTTTGAGAGGGGGGTGAAGGAGGCAATTTATGTAAAAAGAGAAAAGCCGTCTCTTAACAGAGGAGGAGGCCTCAGATTTCCACTTTCTAAAACATATAATGCAACTTTAAAACAGATTCCTAGCCGGTTTTCACACCTGATGGGAACAGAGAGGCCTCGTCTGTGAATTAGAGGAACAAAAGACTCTTACTGTTATGGTGTTTAGGTGTGAATTGCCAATCTACATATGTGTGTGTGTCTTATCTCACTCAGCCTTATAACCTGAATCCCTCACTTCTCTGCTCTTTGAATTGAGAAAGCTCCTCGGATGAGGAGCGAAACGTCTTTTATTACAAATAAAGTCCAGTTGTTTTTGTATTGAACGCTTTTTGAAAAGGATGTCAGCAAATGTCAAAGGAAAAGGTTACAAGACAGTGGTGAGACCAGTTATATTGTATGGTCTGGAGACAGTGGCATTAGCTATGTTTACATGCGCAGAATTCTTTGACCGGATTGAAATGTGTTCTGTTTGAATAATTCAAATGTATCGTTTACATGGGCACAATCCGTTCACGATGTGCGTTTACATGCAACGGGCTTTGATTCTGAACAGAAGTACTGACATGCGCAGAGTGGTAAACTCTCTTTAAAAAACCACCGAAGAAGAAGTTACTTCCGTGTAAACCATAGAAGAAGAAGTTCTCTTTCCGGGACGAACGTAAACACACTTGAGCGACAAAAATGGACCCGCGACAGGTTTTAATGACTGTGATGGAGTTGTTACTGCACTCCCTGCTTGAGCTACAGGCGAAGCAACGCATGCTTTTAGTCTTTTTTCTTCGTAGGATGAGAGCGCGGAAGGAAAAATACATCCGAGAAAGTTCTTTGCTGCCGGCAAGTTTAATGCTGCTGCCACTACCTCCACAAACGACCAGAAACCAGTGGATGAAAGTTCGAAGTAAAGACTGGTGGGAGCGTGTGGTCCTCACGCAGTTCACCGACCCGGAGTGGAAGCAGAATTTTCGCATGACACATCTGTCTTTCACAAAGTTGTGCACTTTGATGGAGAGTCATTTAGCCCCAGAAGAGGTGACTGTTAGAACTCCAATTCCGCTCATGATGCGAGTTGCAGTTGTTCTGTATAAACTGGGCAGCTGTGCCGAATAGCGAGTCATTGCAAATCAATTTGGAATAAGTAAGAGCAGTGTTAAAAATTGTGTGTACATGTTTTGTAAAAGCATGGTGAGAGGGCCAATTAAACAGCTGATCCGAGCACCAACTGACATGGAGGCACTGGAGATCGCCAGAGCTTTTGAGGCTTCCCATCACATCCCTCATATTATGGGTCTCATCGATGGATCACACATCCCGGTTCTTCCCCCCTCTGATGGATATAAAGACTTTGTTAACCGTAAAGGCTGGCCATCCTATGTCCTCCAAGCTGTTGTGAACAACTGCTGGTAAGACAAATACACGCTGTATGCTTAAATAAACTTGTTTTTCTTTCTTTTTCTACCTGTCTATGCTTGATACTGTCTGTATTTATTATTAATTACTGTTCTTCCTCTGTTTTTCTCAGTTTCTGGAGCATCAGTTGCAAGATGCCAGGCAGTGTCCATGATGCCAATGTCCTGCGCCACTCTGACCTCTATCAAAGGGCTCATCTAATGCCAAAAGTAAGGCTAATATTTACTATATTGTATTTATTATTTCTACAACTATAAACTATAAAGTAGAGATACTTAGCTGTAAAATTATTTTTTTAAATGTTTGTTAGAAGCATGCCTTTAAACAAATGGTTAAATGTTGCCAATATTTGCTATATTGTATTTAGTATTACTACAACTATTACAGCTAAGGTTCTCAAAGTAGAGATACATAGCTGTAAAGTTTTATTTAAAAAAAAGAGTTTGTTTGAACCATGCCTTTAAACAATGTCTAAGTAAAATACTAAATATTAGTATGTCCTTTTTTTGCGGTCTGTGAGGAACATCGAAGGAAAGGACGTCAGTCTCCTCGTTGTTGGTGACCCTGCATACCCGCTGTTGGACTGGCTCATCAAAGGACACCCAAACTCTCCTCGTCTGACTCCTCAACAAGTCATTTAATGTTTACCTTAGCTCAGTCAGGGTGGGCGTAGAGATGACCTTCGGGTTGCTGAAGTCACGGTGGAGAGTTCTTCTAAAAAGAAGTCTTTCATTTCACCTTTGCTCCAAAAATGATCGCCACCTGTTGTGCACTCCACAACTTCTGCCAGAGGGAGAGGGATTATGGCAACAGCAACTGGTTGGAAGAGGCACGTGACCGTGCAAACAACTACCCTCAGCCTAACCAGCCAGCGAATCTTCAGTGCAGTGTTGGTGGAAACGGTGCAAGAGAGGCACTGACTGCATATATGTCCAAGTTTCCACTCCGTACAGGCCATCTGCATTAAAGGGGCTTTTTAAATATACAATATATACTTGTCATGTATGTGTTCAGATGCAGCTAACATTTGTATAAAGATATTATAACAAAACGGCAAATAATACTAGTGTACATCGGAGCTCTTTAATGGACCAAACATTTTAATAAATTCTTGTAAACATTTTATATTGCTTGTTGGCACTGTGTGAAATGTGTTTCATTCTCAGTGCAATTTGAGGTAGCCTACATCACAAAAACATAAAAATTATACATTCAAAAAGTTTGTGCAAAACAGACAATGTGCACAGATCATCACATCTTGTAATGAAAACAGAAAAAAACATTCTTTGGTCATTTAAAACTACAGTAACGTGCAATTCAACAGTAACTTCTTTATCAACTCATCCTGTACTTTCAGAATTACAATATAAAAAAATATCTATATATATATAATATGAAACTTTAGCTGCTGCTCAAATAACAAACTTTTTTTTAACTTTAGTTTAGGTCATGGAGGTGGTAATCCGAGTTGTAGCTTGGGTTCTGAGGAAATTGAGCAGACCGGCTTTGACCTGGGTATTGATGCTGAGGGTAGGGAGGAACTGGAGATCTTCCCTGTGGAGGTGGGGTCATTTGAGTCATGATGGACTTTAATCCATCAAAACATTGCCTCACTAGGCGCTCAGTTGAGAGTGTGTTTTCTTCTAAGAACCTTACAAACAACCTTTCTTCTCTTTGCTGCCATCGTTCCTGTTGTTCTTCTATCCATTTGTTCTGGGACTCTTGCATCTTCTGGTAGAAGGATTGCTGTTCGGTGGCCCAAGTCTGCATAACCAGAGTTCCCTCGTGGTCCTGCAATGATGTAAAACACTATTACTTGCTTGGATGCAGTACTAACATAATCTCTCTAAACACTGTATAAACATTTGTTACCGTTTTTGTCATCTGGAACACACAACTTACTCTTCCTTGATGTCCTCGTCTGTTGAAAGTTTCTTGGACTGTTGTTTGTTGTGTGCTGCTGTCAGCTGCTTCTTCAAAGCTGGACTCATCATCTGAAAAAGAAAAAAATAAAGTCTAACTGGTCCCCTGGTATGTTGAAATTTGTTAGGTTAATTATCTGGTTAGTTGGGGTAGTGTTATAATCCACAATATAGGTCTCATGTTCTCTACTGTGTACAATCCTTGGAGGTATAATTATGCTAGCCCTAAAGCTACTCTTGTTTCTTACTATAATTACATTTTAACATATTTGTTGTATCCCAGTTACACCAAGTAATACAGTACAGAGGGTTAATGTGGCTTGAAGAGTATCTTACCGGAAAGGATGCTTTGTTCCGGATTTGCTTCGGGGCTGTAGTCCTCAGATTCCTCCTCATAACCTTGGTCCACACCGCTGCCTGTCGTGTTGGCCAGTGGCCGCTCTCTCATCAGTTCGTCCATCAACATGTAAAATGAAAAAGTGGTGGGGTCGGAGCCACTTCTCCCGTTCTTGTTCTTAGCTTGGTAGTACTTAGCTTTCAAGCTCTTCCAGCGTTTTTTTATTTGCTCAATTGTTCGATGGATTCCGGCTTCTTCCAGTTTTTCATGCACTTGTTTAAATAACTCCGTGTTCCTACACTTTCGACCGTCAAGGCGTTCGATAATTTTGAGTTCTTTTAACGTTTCGATTAGAAATGTTGTATCGCTCACCGACCAGTTCTGCTTCCCCGCCATGTTAGCATCTACACATTAGCCAGGCGGAAAAGGAAACGCGTAGAGGTACGCGCCGCACATGCGCAGTCAGGTCATTTTTTCACCATCAGATAAAAACGAACAGATCAAGTGTTTACATGCGCACCGATCGGGCCACGGATCGGCGTAAACCACCCGTTTCGATCTGATCACAAATTATAACGGATCGCGCCGAATACACAAAAAATAACCCGAACGGAGCGTTTACATGACACACTTTTGTTCCGACCGGCCATCTGATCCGGTTACTTTTGTCCATGTAAACATACCCATTGACAAAAAGACAGGAGAAAGAACTGGAAGTAACATGAAGATGTTGAGGTTCTCCTTAGGAGTGATAAGGATGGATAAGATTAGGAATGAGATCATCAGAGGTACAGCACAGGTTGAACAACTGGGAGATAAAGTTAGAGAGACCAGACTGAGATGGTTTGGACATGTCCAGAGGAGGGACAGTGGGTATATTGGTAGAAGGATGTTAGAAATGCAACTGCCAGGAAAAAGACAAAGAGGAGATGTAGTGCTGCAGTTAGAGAGGACATGGAGGTAGTTGGAGTGAGGACAGAGGATGCAGAGGACAGAGTGAGATGGAGGAGGATGACTCGCTGTGGAGACCCCTGAAGAGGGAAAAGCCGAAAGAAGAAGAAAGGTTAAAATGTATTTAATTCAGACAATTATTTAATAAAGGAGTTTACCTCCTTTATTATAAACGTGACAGATGTCAGTGGATGAAGGCTACATCAAACAGGCAGTTTGGACATTTTGAAGAAGTGTTCTGTAGAAAAGTATTCAATATTTATTTTCTCATTTATTGTAGATATTATTGTTAATAACTTTTTTGTAGAACTCCACTTCAAAATGTGTGTTGTTTACATGCTCCTCTAATCTCAGCCCAAGCAGTTAGGTTTTCCTGAAGAGTATAAAGGACAAAAGGAGGAAATAATTTGCATAAATATATATATTTTTAAGGATATGTGACCCGTGCTGGGAAAATGAGTCAGAATGAGCGCAGGCTGGAATGGGAAAAGGTGAAAATTGTGATTTTTTTTTTTCTTTGCTGAAATTGAGATTTGTGTAAAAACGAGTCCATGAAGGTACCATCTAGTGATCCATGTAAATAAAATTACATATAATCTTCTTAATCTACAGTTAAATTGAAGTTTTCAACAGGTACTTCTTTAGAAATAATCATTTTAATTCTAATTTGAAAATAACTCCATATTGAAAAAATCCAAACTGTGACACATTCTGCGAGCAAAAGTCACATTTATTAACTTTTGATTCTGCGACTCGTTCCATCACAGCAGCATTCTTGGACAGGATTTTCATTATACTCAGATTTTACTGATGAAATTAAATCAATTTTAAATGACGTCTGAGTAAAATGCTTTCATTTCTTTTGGCTGGAATCTAACCGACAGCTGTGGGATATTTCTCTCAAATCCACCAACAATTATTTGGAATTCTTTTAGGGCAAGATGCTCAGAAGAAATAATGTGAGTCATTTAGATAAAAAATAAGAATTAGAAAAATAAAAACACAATTTAGGTGTAAGTTAATAAAAGTGTTTTTCTTTTAAAATTTCAATAACCCACAATTACTGCATGCCCAACAAAATGGCCGATAATTTTGCACACTTTAAATGTATGCTTTATAACTTCAATACGGGGTACTCAATTATTGTTTCCTCAGATTAAAGGAAGGCTCACTGCAGATTTCAGTGTTTTAATTCTTATCAAAATTGGTAAAAACTGTATTTTTTTTCCATTTTTTATGAATATTTGTTTTCTTCTGTCCTAAAATGTGAAATATCAATACAAATTATAATTCATTACATGTTTTTAGTTTTATAATTTCACCCTCATTCACTGGTAAAACCTCCTCTGACAAACTCAAACTGGCCCATGGGCCACCAGTTGATAATCACAGTTGTTGCAGGTTTGCGGCTCCGGACACGTTTTACTTACAGAGCGAAGGGACAGGAATGGCTCTTCTGATCAAAAAGGCTGCAGAGTTCTCTAATCTTATAGGAAACATTATAAAACCATGACGCTAAATCAGAAAATCCGTAGAAAGTAATGAAAACATATAAAATGAAGATATTCCGATCTAATCTTACGGTAAAAGACGAATCAAAAACTCACTTTAACCCTCGCTCTTCCTACAGAAATTTAAATTCATTCATCAGATTATCTACATGCAGACCAGTAGATTAAGGATGAGTGAAGGTAGAACAGGTTTAGGTTTGTGACTGTCATGAATCACGTCCTTGTATTTAGATCTTTATCACTCTGTTCACTAGCTCTGGTTTCTCAGTTCTGTTCTGCTCTTTTCATTCTCACTCTTTATCTCCTTCTACCTGGTTCTCATGTGTGTGTGTATGTGGAGAACCAGTCTGTCCACTCTGCATGTTGGTGAAGGCTGACTGCACTAATTGTCTGCACTGCAGCCAGCTGACCTGATTATCTCTGACTGGCTGCACCTGTTCTCTCCACCCTTTATAAGCAGCAACCTGTCAACTCTTCGGTGCCCGATAGTTGAACACTCTTAGTAGTTAGTAAATATCTCGCGTTCATGCCTGTAGTCCTTGTTGCCCTCTCTTGTCCCTGTTCAAGTCCTCGCTCCTTGTCTTGCCCTCCACGCTACCTGTCCCTCTTTCTGGTTGTCCTCCCCTTCTTGTTTGGCCTGATCTCTTGGTTCCTTGACCCTCTGCCTGCCTCAACCACGTCTCTTTGGATTGCCCTTTTGGATTTGTTTCTGCATCTGCTCTTGGTACCGACCCCCGCCTGCACGACCACCGATCTGCCTGCTCCCCTGGTACTGCCTGACATCTGCTCCTCGTTACTGGACCTTGGAAAGCCTGACCTCCCCTTTTGGATCACGGACTCTGGACACGCAGACAGCTGCGGCCGACTGTCGTCCTTCACCGGACTCAGCCCTTCCAGCAGCTGCAGATCAGAACACGTCCACCTTTCAGGACCCTTGAGATCATCTGAGACGGTTAGTGGTTTTTCCTTATTGACTATTCTCCACGTTCTGGTAATCAGCACGACCACTAACCGTTCTCTGCTTCTTAGATTGCTCCTGCCATTAACCGACACCAGAACCAGAACCCAGACCAGCACCGAGACCAGCTGTCACTTCCCTCTTAGAAACAATAAACACGTATTATTTATCGTCAGTCTGTTGTGTTGTGATCTTGGTCCAAACCATCACGAGAGTTCCTTACATGTGACCTTCTATGGTCTTCTTTTGATCGGTCAAACTTTCCGCTCAGTGTTTTATCCTCATGTTGTCTTCGACTCTTCTCTGCCTCCCTCATTGACTTCTACAGTGCCTTGAAAGTATTCGGCCCCCTTGAACTTTTCAACCTTTTGCCACATTTCAGGCTTCAAACATAAAGATTTAAAATTTTTTGTGAAGAATCAACAACAAGTGGGACACAATCGTGAAGTTGAATGAAATTTATTGGATGTGTCAAACTTTTTAACAAATAAAAAACTGAAAAGTGGGGCGTGCAATATTATTGGGCCCCTTTACTTTCAGTGCAGCAAACTCACTCCAGAAGTTCAGTGAGGATCTATGAATGATCCAATGTTGTCCCAAATGACTGATGATGATAAATAGAATCCACCTGTGTGTAATTAAGTCTCCATATAAATGCACCTGCTCTGTGATAGTCTCAGGGTTCTGTTCAAAGTGCAGAGAGCATCATGAAGACCAAGGAACACACCAGGCAGGTCCGGGATACTGTTGTGGAGAAGTTTAAGGCCGAATTTGGATACAAAAAGATTTCCCAAGCTTTAAACATTCAAGGAGCACTGTGCAAGCAATCATAATGAAATGGAAGGAGTATCAGACCACTGCAAATCTACCAAGACCCGGCCGTCCCTCTAAACTTTCATCTGGAACAAGGAGAAGACTGATCAGAGATGCAGCCAAGAGGCCCATGATCACTCTGGATGAACTGCAGAGATCTACAGCTGAGGTGGGAGAGTCTGTCCATAGGACAACAATCAGTCGTACACTGCACAAATCTGGCCTTTATGGAAGAGTGGCAAGAAGAAAGCCATTTCTCAAAGATATCTATAAAAAGTGTTGTTTAAAGTTTGCCACAAGCACCTGGGAGACACAAAACATGTGGAAGAAGGTGCTCTGGTCACGTGAAACCAAAATCCAACTGTTTGGCCACAATGCAAAATGATATGTTTGGCGTAAAAGCAACACAGCTCATCACCCTGAACACACCATCCCCACTGTCAAACATGGTGGTGGCAGCATCATGGTTTGGGCTTGCTTTTCATCAGCAGGGACAGGTAAGATGGTCAGAATTGATGGAAGATGGATGGGACCAAATACAGGACCATTCTGGAAGAAAACCTGTTTGAGTCTGCAAGAGACCTGAGACTGGGACGGAGATTTATCTTCCAACAAGACAATGATCCAAAACATAAAGCCAAATCTACAATGGAATGGTTCACAAATAAACGTATCCAGGTGTTGGAATGGCCAAGTCAAAGTCCAGACCTGAATCCAATCGAGAAGCTGTGGAAAGAGCTGAAGACTGCTGTTCACAAACGCTCTCCATCAACCTCACTGAGCTCGAGCTGTTTTGAAAAGAAGAATGGGCAAAAATTTCAGTGTCTCCATGTGCAAAACTGATAGAGACAAACCCCAAGAGACTTGCAGCTGGAACTGCAGCAAAAGGCGGCGCTACAAAGTATTAACGCAAGGGGGCCCAATAATATTGCACACCCCACTTTTCAGTTTATTTGTTAAAAAAGTTTGACACATCCAATAAATTTCATTCCACTTCACAATTGTGTCCCACTTGTTGTTGATTCTTCACACAAAAAAATAAAAATTTTATATCTTTATGTTTGAAGCCTGAAATGTGGCAAAAGGTTGAAAAGTTCAAGGGGACCGAATACTTTCGCAAGGCACTGTATGTCTTTTCTTCCAGGAGCGAGACGACCCGCTGTTTTCTAATTCAGATCCCAAAGCTCCGAGGAGGAGATTTACGCTCTCTGAACCAGACAACGCTGGAGGGGCCGAGCAACGGACGACACAGGTGAGAAATTACTTTTTGTAAAGT